GTACGAGACGTAGCAGGATTTTTTTGAGAAGGTAAATAATCGAAAACACAAATCACGCACGGTTACGTTAAGCTACAGCTTACTTTGTTTAATCAAACCCTGTGTATGTATTAATAATTGAGATCCGAAGGGGTGCAATGCTGCAGTAAAAGGTTAAGAACCACTGATCGAAAACCACGCCCGCTCGCCCGAGTGCTGATATTCGCAGACCGCACCAGTTTGAAGGCTGAGTCGACCTAGGGGAAGTCCAGGACCGGTTCCTATAGTCGATTCCCGTTCGCGGCTAACATCTCAATCAGTCGTGGGCCTGCCTACCCTAGGTCGACTCAGCCTTAAATGAGTGCTTGACTTCGATCGTCAACTGAGAATCGAACTCGGGTCTGGCCGGGTCCGTCGCGCAGTGCGCTAATCAGAAACACTGCCGCTCCCCAACCATCTACAAAGACAAAGGTCACCCATGTAAAATTTCGATTTAAAGCTTTCGTGACTGCAGGGATTCATCTTCTTGGTTCTTTCGGTAGAGTCACGTAGAATTGAAATAATAAAATCATAAAAATTAAACATAATAAAATAATTCTCACGACGTTTCGGCCACAACGCAAGTAGCCGTCCTCAGGTGTCGAGGAGACAGACTCTGTCTCCTCGACAGACATGTTCTCCACCTGAGGACGGCTACTTGCGTTGTGGCCGAAACGTCGTGAGAATTATTTTATTATGTTTTATTTTTATTATTTTATTATTTCAATTCTACGTGACTTTACCGAAAGAACCAAGAAGATGTCACCCATGTAGCCTGGTTTTTGCTTTAGCAGACTGTTCGGGTTACGTCGTGTTGGCGAGCTGAGTCGACCGAGGGGACAGCCACGACCGCTATATGAAGTCATCTGCGCACTTAAAATATACAACACTAAGGGGCGGTGACGTCACCACGGCCCGTTGTGCCAGGCTAGGTGCACCTTGAGGCCACGTGAAGTGTTGACGGCTCGCCGCCGTCAGGAGCTCACGGGACAGGCCCGGCAGGTGCCACGGGTCGACTGACTGAGATGACTGGCTGATGCACCACCTGTGCCCCCTACTGTGCCAAAGTGCTGTGTTTTATCCGACCGGCGCTCCGCTCGTTGTTGTGAGCGTCACTCCTCCGCCCTCCGCTGTTGTTGAGGGTCGCCTGCCTCCAACTCCCCAGTAGCGTCCTCCACGAGCCTCCTCTGCGGAGGCCGATATTGACACCGCTGGTATCAGTCATGGGCAAGCCCACGGAGTGCCCAGATCCAATCAGTCCATCACTTCTCTAGCCCGTGCCGCGCCTGCTTAGTCCCCCATATCCGGCCAAGCAAAGGCTGCTTGGCCATGCCGTGTGGCTGGAAATGCGGGCTACGTGACCCAGCCAACAGAGCTTCGCTTGCCGGAGAAGCTGATCAACGACGGGGACTGTGTCCAGACTTTTCAAACGATATGTGAGCTTATCTTCTTGGTTCTTTCGGTAAAGTCACGTAGAAGGGAAATAATACAATAATAAAAATAAAACATAATAAAATAATTCTCACGACGTTTCGGCCACGACGCAAGCAGCCGTCCTAAACATCGTGAAAATTATTTTATTATGTTTTATTTTTATTATTTTATTATTTCCCTTCTACGTGACTTTACCGAAAGAACCAAGAAGATGAATCCCTGCAGTCACGAAAGCTTTAAATCGAGATACGTGAGCTCCTGACACTGGAACGCAGTCCGGTTGGTAAATCCCCGGATGGATCGCAGTCAGCGCTGCCCGAATTATCTGCACACAGACGCACGCCCTTTACCACCAGGTGATACGACGCGTACATGTCTTGAGCAAAGAAGACCTGGGGTAATGCGGGAATGAAACGTTGGTCCGATACGACACGTACATGTCTTGAGCAAAGAAGACCTGGGGTAATGCGGGAATGAAACGTTGGACCGATACGACACGTACATGTCTTGAGCAAAGAAGACCTGGGGTAATGCGGGAATAAAACGTTGGTCCGATACGCTCAGACCTGTGCCGGGATTTGAACCGTGACGCCCCCGTACAACGCGGCGTAGTGGCCATGCGTATTGATGGGGCTATCTGATGCAGACACGTGGCCACATTCATCGTACACCTGTCACACTGGCTGAGTGTGCGTGCGTGATTGATGGGCCCTGCGTTGACGAGATGTTAACTACCTCGCCTGGTATACAGGAGGTCGTGGGTTCGATCCCGACCCTGACGCCTGCTGCTGTATATTTGGAGTCTGTGTGTCTCTCTCTCATCATCATCACGGTGGCTAGTAGATGTTAACTACCTCGCCTAGTATACAGGAAGTCGTGGGTTCGATCCCGACCCTGACGCCTGCTGCTGTATATTTGGACTTTGCGTGTCTCTCTCTCATCATCATCATCAAGGTGGCTAGGAGATGTTAACTACCTCGCTAGGTACACAGGAGGTAGTGGGTTCGATCCCGACCCTGACGCCTGCTGCTGTATATTTGGAGTCTGCGTGTCTCTCTCTCTCTCATCATCATCATCAAGGTGGCTAGGATATGTTAACTACCTCGCCTGGTATACAGGAAGTCGTGGGTTCGATCCCGACCCTGACGCCTGCTGTTTATTTGGAGTTTGCGTGTCTCTCTCCCATCATCATCACGGTGGCTAGGAGATGTTAACTACCTCGCCTGGTATACAAAAAGTCGTGGGTTCGATCCCGACCCTGATGACTGCTGTATATTTGGAGTTTGCGTGTCTCTCTCTCATCATCATCATCAAGGTGGCTAGGAGATGTTAACTACCTCGCCTGGTATGCAGGAAGTCGTGGGTTCGATTCCCACCCTGACCCCTGTATTATATTTGGACTCTACGTGTCTCTCTCCTCGTGGTCGCGTGGATTTTTCTCCGGGTCCTCCGGGTTTTCCCTCCACATTTCGAATCAACATCCACGCGTTTAGAGTGTTTGTCTGTGATACATTTGCACGTAAGCCCCTTCATTTGTGGCCAGGTCGCTTCTGACAAAGAACGATATAGCTCGATGGGCCTTACCTCAAGTTCAAGTTCATTTATTAGGTATTGCCCTGTGAGCCATTCGGCTCTTGAATCGGGTGCAACCGCAACAAACAAAAAACATGAACAAAAAACATCTTAAAGTGAATATGTGACTAAGTGCAAACAGAAAATCCAAGAAATGACAGCAAAATATTGCAGAAAAAAACACCGTACCTGGTAGAATAAACAAAATTATTACAGTTTAATTTTCGATTTAAAGCTTTTGTGACGGCAAGGATTCATCTTCTTGGTTCTTTCGGTAAAGTCACGCAGAAGGGAAATAATAAAATAATAAAAATAAAACATAATAAAATAAATCTCACGACGTTTCGGCCACAACGCAAGCAGCCGTCCTCAGATGAAGACCAGGTATGTCGGGGAGACAGCGTCTGAATTCAGACGCTGTCTTTTAAGCTAAAACTAAACTGTAATATCTTCTTGGTTCTTTCGGTAAAGTCACGTTGAAGGGAAATAATAAAATAATAAAAATAATAAAATAATTCTCACGACGTTTCGGCCACAACGCAAGCAGCCGTCCTCAGATGAAGACCAGGTCTGTCGGGGAGACAGCGTCTGAATTCAGACGTCGTGAGAATTATTTTATTATTTTTATTATTTTATTATTTCCCTTCAACGTGACTTTACCGAAAGAACCAAGAAGATATTACAGTTTAGTTTTAGCTTAAACTGCGGTGCTGGGCACCCACCCCTCGTGTGCCGTGCCGTCCTTCATAAGTGCTGCTCGCTAACAACAGCCTGTTACGGGCTATACGGTAGATCTGTGTCTATGTATGTAAATACTGTATATATGTGTGCGGGGAGTGGTAATGTCGTGGTTGGCGCACGACTAACCCGGCGAACCCCAGTTCAATTCCCGCTCAAGATCAATGACAGTGGCGAATGTTTGAACCGGTCATAGCATATCCGCTTTCAACGAGTACCGTACCTGGGTACGGTCTGTAAGACCATCAGCGCTGGAGAGACAAAGGCGGCCGGGCGTAGCGCTGGTCACTTACCGGCTTGTGTGCCATTCCCGCCGCAATAGGTGCTCGCTAACTTTGCTTGCCCGTCGATTCAAAGTCTGTACGAGGATATTTGTATTTTGCATGGGGAGCGGTGGCGTTAGTGGTTAGCGCACTGGGTTATACGAACCAGGACCAGTTCAAGTCCCCTCTCGCGGCGAACATCGGTGACGAATATCTGAATCAGTCCTGGGGCTCCCCTAGGTCGACTCAGACTTAAATGACCACTGTGTGATTTAAATGGGTGCCGCATGGCCACACCGGTGCCACGTGTTTCCTGGATGCCGTAATAGGTGCTCGCTAACAGCACTTGCCCCTACAATCTGTTAATGCTATACGGGGGATCTTTGTCTTTGTCAGATGAGTGGTGGCGCAGTGGTTAGCACGCTGCGCTACGAACCCGTCGACCCGAGTTAAATTCCCGCTCACGGCCACCAACACCCAGTGACGATTATCTGAACGGGTCCTGGGCCTCCCCTAGGTCGACTCAGCCTCAAACGAGTACCCGGTTCGGTGTGTGAACATCGCCAATGGGGAAACAAAGGCGGTCGGGCGTGGTGCTGGCCACCCACCCCCCCCTCGTGTGCCGTGCCGGTTTGCATAGGTTCCGCTCGCTAGCAGCACTTGCTCCAATCGTCGATTACGGCTATACGGGGGATCTTTGTCTCACTCTGCGAGTAGATTGAACGTGCGTCAATGCTTCCGGCTTTATCTCTTCTCCTTCCAAGCCTCCGCCGTCTTTGTCAACCACCACCACCACCGCCCCCACCACCTCCTCCTCCTCCTCACCTCCCTGTTCCTCCTCTCTCCTCTCTCCCACCACCGCTCAATCACCCACACCCACTCACCATCATGTCAACATCGGCATCATAAAGCAGGCACGTCACGACGACCTCCATTCAATTCGCCTTATAATAACCCCAACGGAACACCCCTTCTCGTGCCCAGTCTGCTGCTCAGTCCGGCTACCTGTGCGTCTTGCCTGGCTATCTGCGCGCGCCTCTCTCGTGTGTCCGAGCACTTGAACGTGTGCGCGCGTCCGTCTTGCTATCGCGGTGTATTCGCGTCTCTCTCTCTGCGTGCGTGTGCGTGCGTGCGTGTCCGACTCCTCTGTCTGCCTAGCCGTGTGCCTGGCTGCTCGTCTCGCCATAAACTTGACGTCTGCCGCTGAGTCCTCAGCCCGTGAGTACGAGAGTCAGGTCACATGTGGAGATCGTGTCCGTATGTTACGCAAACATGAATGCGGTTTAGTGACCTCCTCTTTATTTGACCAGACGAGCACCTGTTGAGATGTATTGCATCTTTTGAACATCGGATTTAAATCATGATAATTACCATCATCAACAACATCATCATCATCATCAGCAGCAGCAGCATCATAATAATCAGCAGCAAATGCCACGTGGCTGATACGCCGTAAGTACCATCACTCTCTGCTGCTGGAAGATCAACGGAATAGACTGCTCCCGCCACGGGATCGTGGAGTTTCCACCTCTGGCTCACGCGAGCAGGGTTAGACTTTTTATTGAGTTTCGAGCATATTTCCATGATGATGTTGCTATCGTTTTAGATGATGCTGCTGTCGTTTCTGCTGCTGCTGCTAATGATGGTTATGATGCGAATACTGATGCTGGTGATGATGGCTGTGATGCGGTTACTGCTGATGATGATGGTCATGATGCTGCTATGGCGAACGGATACTACTGCTGCTTCTAACCAACTATTGTTCCACTTGAATACGACGATGGCGATGGTGATGATGGTCATGATGATGATAATCATGGTGATGATGGGGATCGTGATTACAACGACGGCGATGATGGATATAACGATGAGAATGCCGATGGTGATAATGACGATGACAATGATGGCATTGTATTAATTGCGATAACGATGATTTACGATGAGAATGATTGTCTCACTTGAATTGCATGATGGTCGATTAACCATAACAATCACGGAAACGATTACGATCCCGGGAGATCCCGATGAAATACAATGACGACCGTATTCTTGGTCTTTTGGTGAAGTCACATAGATAGAAAAAAAAATTGTTGTGGGTTTTTTGCGTTTTTTATTTTCAATTTATTTAAAATTGTAATTTTAATTTAAATTTTCTATCCACGTGACTTTACCGAAAGAACCAAAGAATACGAATTCCTGCAGTCACGAAAGTTTTGAGTCAAAAGATGACGACCATGATGATGACAACGATGTTGCAGGCTCACAATCCCACTACCACCACCGCCACCAAACACCACCAAATACCACCACCACCAACCACCAAACACCACCACCACACACCACCACCACCAAACACCACCACCACACACCACCACCGCCCTCTCGCGACGTTCGCCTTTGGACCTGGGAGGAGGACCAAGAGGAAGGCGAGCAGGGAGATCAAGCAGAGGAGGAGAGGAGGAGGAGGAGAGGAGATCTCAGCATCATGATGGAGTGGCCTCTGGTTCGTCTCTTGGGAGCCGCCCTGGTCTGCTTGGCTCCGCGGGGAGGCGCCGCTGTCGGGGTCGGTCCCTGCCTCGGCGTGGATCAGCTGAGCGACCCAGCGGCACAGGTGACTTGAGTGACGTAGAGAGAGAGAGATGATTATATGGCCGTACTCATCATCGTGATTCGCATCATCAGAATCGGCAGGAAACAGCAGCGGTAGCATCAGCAGGCGTAGTACTAATAGTGACATGATTCTCATAATCTACATGATCATAAATCTTGACTTAAAGCTTTTGTGACTGCAGGAATTCATGTTCTTTGGGTCGTTCGGTGAAGTCACGTACATAGGTTCAAATAAAATAACAAAAACTACGACGTTTCGATCGCAACACAAGCGGTCGTCCCCCTCTTCCTGGTGACGAACGCTCGTAGTTTTTTGCTATTTTCTTTGAACCTATCTACGTGACTTTACCGAAAGACCCAAAGAATATGAACATCATCACAATCAACATCAGCAATCAGCAGGAACATCTGCAAGTAGTGGTGGTATTAACAACATTCGCATAATCAACATCATTTTGAGCAGCAGCAACAGGATCAGCGACGGTAGTACGAGTACTGTTGTTACAGAATTCTCATCTCGATTTAAAGCTTTCGTGGCTGCAGGGATTCATCTTCTTGGTTCTTTCGGTAAAGTCACGTAGAAGGGAAATAATAAAATAAAAAAAACATTATAAAATACAATTCTCACGACGTTTCGGCCACAACGCAAGCAGCCGTCCTCTCCTCAGGTGAAGAGGACGGCTGCTTGCGTTGTGGCCGAAACGTCGTGAGAATTGCATTTTATTATGTGAAATTTTTATTATTTTATTATTTCCCTTCTACGTGACTTTACGGAAAGAACCAAGAAGAAGAATTCTCATCATCATAATTATCAGCGGCAGCAGCGTCTGCAGCAACATTAACGACGTTGTCATCATCATCATAATCATCAGCGGCAGCAGCATCTACAGCAACATTGGCAACGTTGTCATCATCATCATCATCATCTATAACATAATATTTATCATCATAATCGCCACAGTAGTCGTAATTACAGAATCATTTTCATCCGCATTGGCAAAATTATCATCATTTGCTGCAATAGCAGAAATTGCATCGGCAATAGTAGCAGCAGCAGCAGCAGCTGCATCAAAATCACCATCACCAGCAGTACCATGATGTGTATCATCATTATGATCAGCATCGTACATATCATCACGCCATCGTCAGGATTACCAGTCTGCAGCAAGCCAGTGTGTTGTTTAACCTGACTCGCTGACCTGCATGTCTACCTGTCTTCCTGCCATCATATTTCACTTGCTGTCAGCTCGATCTGACCTTCTTGTCTACACAGACTCAGTGCGTGCTTGCCTGCCTGCCTTCCATTTTAGAAACATTCGTTTAACGTCTCGCCACCGAGCGCCACGATGGTGAGATGTTAACTCCCTCGCCTGGACTACAGAAGATCGTCGGTTTGAGCACGACCCTGACGCATGTTGTCTGTTTGGAGTGTGCGTGTCTCTCTTCTCCCCGTGGTCGTGTTGATTTCTTTTCTCCGGGTCCTCCGGTTTTTCCCCTCCACAATTATAATCAACATGCGTTGAGAGTATTTGGCTGCTATAAATGTCCACATGATCAGCCACCACCAATTCGTTTGAGATCTTTCTAGAAATTTGACATTTTCATTGCTACCCCCTGGAATTGCGAAATTGGGGGAGGGGGGGGGGGGGTTCATCCGTGGGTCTGCGGCATCCTCGCAACGAAACAAGATACTCAACACTGGATTTGGCCCAACATTCTCAACATGGCAGTGAACCTTCCTTAAGTTGGGGCTCGTTTGAGACACGGGTGAGGCTTTCCCCGGGTAAAATTACGTCGTATTCGTGATTTCCCAACCAAAAGGTTGCGAGTGTTAATATTCAGAATTACCTCTCTCTGTCTCTCCGACGGACTGCAACGCTCGTAACGGATGACCCCACTAGGAAGGAAACCCGTTAGTCCAAACTTGTGTTCTATATCCTTATTAGCTTGAATCAAGGCTGCTGCAATGATGAACTGCAGCACGGACTGATGGTTTGTGTGGGGAAACATACAACTGTGTCTTCAGTTGACGTGGAGGGACGGATATTTTGAGGAACTGCTTTATGTATTTAGTTGTTTGTCCTTGTCTCTCGCCTCCGATTAGCGCTGTTAGCAACACACGGTGCGAAAGAAGCTCAACACACACACACACAATACACGAGACACCAGGCCTGCGTGTATACTTTGGCATTCGCATTCCCCGCTCAACGACGCCGATGATTATTGTGAGTTGTCCATTGAAAACCGGCCACATCGCCAGAAACGATTTCCCAAAATATCGGCGATACAAATAACCCTGCCAAGCCTGGTGGTGTTCATTCAGACGCTGTCTTTCCGACAGACCTGTTCTTCACCTGAGGACGGCTGCTTGCGTTGTGGCCGAAACGTCGTGAGAATTATTTTATTATGTTTTATTTGTATTATTCTATTATTTCCCTTCTACGTGACTTTACCGAAAGAACCAAGAAGATGAATCCCTGCAGTCACGAAAGCTTTAAATCGAAATTTAATAACCCTGACCTTAAATTAACGGTAAAAAAGTGTGATCTATCCTGTGATGATTCTCGCCTATATCCCTCTCACCTGTCAATCAAATCTACCTATTTAATCTAAAGGTCTCTTTGTATTTTCAGGTTCTTTGCGCTCAGACGGTGCAGTTGCTGATGGCTGTCGAGATGTCTAAGTAACCTCTTGATGTTGACCTGTCCGTCTAACCCAGGGCTCGGCAACCTGCGCCTCTTTAAGGAACTTGCTTCGAGACTTTGCTTATTCAGTACCGCCAACCCCCGTCCCGTATTTCTACACAGTGCAACTGTGGCTCTTGAAATACACATTTCAGATGTTTACAGAAGTCGAACACACAAAACATGCCTCTTCTTGTATACGTTAGTTGCAGACACCTGGTCTGACCTGTCCCATCCAGTATCCCTGGATTTCCCCGACCCGTCTCTTCGATCTTCCTGTCTACCTAACCTGTCTAACGTGTATATCTAATCTACCCTAACTGTATATCTTACCTGTCTGTGTAACCTAAGATAATCTACATATCTTAAACCTATCCGCCTAACCTGTCAATGTCACCTACCCACCTGTCGATAGATCACGGCTACCTAATAAGCCCATCTCACCCACTTTCTACTTGGCCTACTTATCTACATATTACTTGTCTACCTATTACTTGTCTAACTATTTAACATGCCTGTATAACTTGTCTAACCTGTTTGCTTTACCAGTCTAACTCTAACGCTGTAACTCCCCCACCCCCACCTCTCATTTTGCAGTTCCTTTGCTCTCGGGCCTGTAATGGCGACTGCGGAGCCTGGCTCTTGCCTGAGCGTGCTGCCCTAACGGAGGAGGCTGATGCCCGGGGAGCCCAAGGCGAACGGCCGGGCCCAGAGGCCTGGGGCCAGCAGGCTGGCAATGACGAGCTGGTGGACGAGGTGATGGAGGACGAGGTGATGGAGAACGAGGAGGAGCCACTGAGGCGCTCGCTGGGCTACGCCGTGGGGCACTTTCGGTGGGGCAAGCCGGCGAACCGCAAGAAACGGCCCGTGAAGGTGAGCAGGGTTTGGTGGTCGGGGCATCATCACAATCAAAGGCGCACAACTCAAAGACAATGCAGATAGAAGGGTAAAAAAACAATTATCATATTTTTACTGGCAAATGAGGTTCCCATAGTGTAGATGCCTGCCCCGAGCTCTCATACTCTGATGGTGCATTGTCTTTGAGTTGTGCGCCTTTTGGCGTCATCTGGTCCAACCCATGTGACACTAGGCTCTAAGGAAAGCTGTCTCGGGTGTGGACCAATCAACTTCAAGGACAGTGCACATACATTATCAGAGTTATGTTCTTTTGTTTGTATTATGACTGCAGGTATTGCGGTCTATGCAAACATGACTCCTTGTAATTCCGTTAAGATGTTTAAACACCAAATAGATACCCGTTTGCGAGGAACCAAGTCTGCATTTGCCACACGTGCTTTGTGGCAAAACATGCAACCAAACGCGTTCTCACAATATATGGGCATTGTCGTTGGGAACTGATTTTCCTGCACCAGAGACAGCCAGCCTTCTTCATGGCCTTGTGTCTGTACCAGTGTCAGGCCGGAGAACAACGCCGAAAGGCGAACAGCACAATTCAAGTATCAGGGCATTTGTCATCATCAGTAGCAATATCAGCATCACCATAAGCATCACTCTCGTCATCAGCAGCAGTAGCAATGGCATCGACAGAAGCAATCATCAGCAGAAGTAACCAGCATCAGTAGCAGCAGCAGCAGAGACATCATCATTATACTAATGATCATGATTATCAGCAGCCAGAGAGGCATCACTGTCACAAGCGACAGATACACCATCATCAACAGTAGCAGCAACAACGGTAGTATTATCAGAAGTAGTATCAGAAATCCATCACCATTATTAGCGAGATGATCATCAACAGCAGAAACAGTTTCAGTTCAATTTCATTTGTTAGGTAAAGCCCTGTGAGCCATGCGGCTCTTGACTCGGGTGCAACCGCAACAAACAAAATCGTGAACGAGAGACATCTTAAAGTGACTACACGCAACAGAAAAATCCAGGAAAAAACAGCAAAATCTTCCAGGAAAAAAGCACCGTATATCAACGCTGTGTGCAAAAATCCCAGTGGGATGCAAGTCAAACAATAACAACCGTAAGACAATGTAGATTCAAGTTATCAGGCTAACTCTGTCCTACAACAAACAAACATGGCTAAACCAAAACGTTTTCGCAATCACCAAAATAAGGCTATGGAAAACAATGTAACCGTAATCATAGGAACTGTGATTCAAATTTAACAAAAAACGATACACATAACATGTACGACCAAACTTTGCAGCCATAGCTGTCAGCATGAGTCACTCCATAACAGCAGGAGTATCATCATCATCATTGGCAGCAACACCTCCAGCAACTACATCATCTGCAACAGTAGTAGCATCATGAGTAGCAGAAGCATCCTTCATCATGTTCAACATCCGCAGGAACAGCTAACACATTCCTGCGGAGGGAGCTGGTAGGAACGTTGGGTTGCTCGGTCAATGGCCAGGGTCAACGGCGGCGTGGTGTATTCCGCAAATATGCCCGACTGTGAGGGCGGGCACAAGCCGGCGTGAGTAGGTTAAACGTTGAGTTTTATAAGGGCACCACGGTGTAACCAGCCCCTCCCCACCCAGCCCCACCCCTCCCACCCCCCACCCAGCCCAACCCTCCCCACCCAACCCCTCCCCACCCTCCCCACCCATCCCCTCCCCACCCTCACCACCCAGCCCCTCCCCACCCTCCCCTCTCCACCCAGCCCCACCCCTTCCATTTTTGGATGCACGACGGACGGACGGACACAATAATCCCCTGTGGGCCGGTGGAACCAGGTGGTTCCTACCAGTATTAGCCTGGCAAGACAGATGATGATGAAGTTATAACATGACGTGATGATAATGATAGCAATGATGATGATAACGACAATAGATTAGTTTGACGAATTGCTAGATATCCACCCTCGCTTCATTGAACCACCTTGACAGAGAGGCTCAAGCAGTTTTTGAGAAACGTCGACTTTACATTCAGTGATTTTTTTTGTATTTATGGAATCTTTATAAGCGTCATTAATGCGTCGTATGGTGGAGCGTTAAAAATGTCCAGGATTCTGGTATTAAACGACTCTACTTTCTGCCTGGCCTAACTCAACAACGAATATGAAATTTTTACTTAAACATTTTTTGTGATTGCAGGAATTCATATTCTAAATAATAACAATAAAATAAAATAAATATATTAGATGTACACCCAGGTACAATAAAATATACACTATTTTATTTTAATTTTTTATTTTAATAAAATAATAATTATTTTATTGTTATTATTTTTTCAATCTACGTGACTTTACCGAAAGAACCGTGGAATCAAACTAAATATGAACACAGTATTTGACGGTGATTAAACACACAAACGGACGGATCATCACCATCATCAGTGGCCTCACCATCATGCAGATGTACACCCATGTACGTTGAACTTCTTTCACACCGTACGTAGCCAACCGTGTCAATCGGAGGTGCGGATCACATTGCCATCAACACCGCCATCATCACCACTATTATCAACATAATAGTGGCGATAATGAGCAGCAGCATCGACATCGGTACCATTCCAATTATTATTTCAGTGTCTTCACCGTCACCAACACGATGACATTCACGATAAATCACGTACGAAACATACCGCCATTGCTTAAGGGCCACATCTGAAAAACACAATAGAATATAGAGTATATATATTATAGGGGGGGGGGGGACTATTGCAGGCAGATCGAGATCGTGAGGATTAAATGAAGGGCGGGAGAACGAGAGGCGATTCGGGGAGCCGTTGAGAATGTAATTGCGATAAGTATAACCCGTAAAAACAAGGTTTATCACTATAAATCCTTTATATGCGTGGCGGCTAGAGTCCTCTCGTCCTTTGGCTTGAGATGGCTGCCACCTATGGGTCAGATGATTGTCTGCCAGTATTAAGCAATTGGTAATTAAATATTTAATTTGTTTTCCCTAAACAGTCTAAAAAATTGGAAAAAAAATGTTCACGAACATTAATTGTCTCGCACAACGAGTCTGTGTGCAAAATGTCAGCTCGATTGGATCACGGGAAGTGGGTTAAAAAAACGACCGAAAGATTTGCACGGTCGTAAGCAAGCAAGCAAGCAAGCGAACTTAATATAAAGGATTTAATAATGAAAAGCGAATATTCCCCACGTGGCCATCGGAGGGCCGTTGACAATCGCTGCGACGTTGCCCTGTCCTCTTGACATGGATCGGCGACAAGGACAGCCGACAATCGGAAGAGGAACACAAAAGATGGGGGAAGTGAACAGAAGGTGCATTGGTGAGAGCCGACCTCGGCGTGCTATGGAATTAGCATTCTGGAGATCGGGAAGAGGATCGGAGAGCGAACGCGTTTCGGGAGGCGTCGTGTTCGAGAACAGTTGAGGAACAACGAACGGGGGGGGAGGGGGGGAGGGTTCGAGGCCGGACGAACAATCGGCCTCTAAGGGAGACCGGTGACAGATTGACAGCCGAAGGTGGCGTGGGTGGGTGGCGTGGGTGGGTAGCGGGGGTGGGTGGCGTGGGTGGGTGGGTGGCGTGAGTGGCGTGGGTGGCGTGAGTGGGTACCGTGGGTGGGTGGGTAGCGTGGGTGGGTGGCGTGGGTGGGTGGGTGGCGTGGGTTGTATGGGTGGCGTGGGTGGGTACCGTGGGTGGTGGGTAGCGCAGCGTGGGTTGCGTGGGTGGCGTGGGTGGCGTGGGTGGGTGGCGTGGGTGGATGGCGTGGGGTTGGAGTGGGTGGGTGGGTAGCGTGGGTTGCATGGATAGCGTGGGTGGGTGGCATGGGTGGGTGGCGTGGGTGGGTGGGCGGCGTGGGTGGGTGGGCGGCGTGGGTGGGTGGGTAGCGTGCGTGGCGTGGGTGGGGTGGGTGGGGTGCGTGGGTGGGTGGGTGGTTGGAGACCCGAGTTCGATTCCTGCTCAAGGCCACCAACCAACACCAGTTTTTATTTCTTGATGATGAGCGAGTAAGCAGCACCGATGAAGTGCGACACACGAGGGGTGGTGGGGGGTGGTGGGGGTGGGGCAGCACCACGCCCGAGCGCCTTTGTCTCCCCCCAGTGCTGTATGCGCAGCACACGCATATGCAAGTGCGTGTGTTGAACTTCTTTCGCACCGTACGTAGCCAACCGAGCTCATCGGAGCTGTGTGTTTGTGTACACAGTATCACATCGGTGCTGCTCGCCAACAGCACTTGCCCTATCAATATGTTCAAGGCTGTATGGGGGATCTTTGTCTTTGTATATCACTGCGCCATGAAGCGAGTTCGATGTCAGCCCACGGTCAACACCGGTGACGATTATCTGAAGCGGTCCTAGGCCTCCCCTTGGTCGACTCGGCCTCAAATGAGTATCTGGTGCGGTGTGTAGTAAACATCGCCACTGGGGAGACAAAGGCGGCCGTGCGTGGTGCTGACAACCCACCCCCTGGTAAAACCTTCATAGGCGCTGCTTGCTAACGGCACTTGCCCCGACAGCCTGGGAAGGCTATTCGGGGGAACTTTATCTTTTCCTGGTGAACAAAGTGGATGACTGGGCATGAGGGTGTGCCAGTGAGGTTCGCGTAAGGCGAATCGAACGGCGGTGTTGTGACGTGCCTGCTGATGCTGCTGATGATGCTGCTGCTCATGTTGAGATGATGGTGGGAAGGTGCGGATGGGTGAGCGAGTGAGCGGTGGAGGAGGCGGATGACGAGGAGGGGGTCGGTTGTGGTTGACAAAGACAGAAGGCGAAGGTTGTGGATGGAGGAGAGATAAAGACGGGAAGCATTGACGCACGTTCAGCCCGCTCGCACAGCAAGACAAACGCTCCACCGCGTAGCCTTTAACAGAGACCCCCCCCCCCTCTTTCTCTCTGTTTAAGGCCTCGACACAGAGGCATTGGGTCTCTGTGTGTCTATGTTGTGTCTCTCTCAGTGTTTCTCTGTGTGAGTCTCTCTCTGTGTGAGTCTCTGTGTGTGTCTCTCTCTGTCTCTCTGTGTGAGTCTCTGTGTGTCTATGTTGTGTGTCTCTCTCAGTGTCTCTCTGTGTGAGTCTCTGTGTGTCTATTTGTGTGAGTCTCTGTGTGTCTAGGTTGTGTGTCTCTCTCTGTGTGTCTCTCTGTGTGAGTCTCTGTGTGTCTATGTTGTGTGTCTCTATCTGTGTGTCTCTCTGTGTGAGTCTCTGTGTGTCTATGTTGTGTGTCTCTCTCTGTGTGTCTCTCTGTGTGAGTCTCTGTGTGTCTATGTTGTGTGTCTCTCTCTGTGTGTCCCTCTGTGTGAGTCTCTGTGTGTCTATGTTGTGTGTCTCTCTCTGTGTGTTTCTGTGTGAGTCTCTGTGTGTCTATGTTGTGTGTCTCTCTCTCTGTATGTCTCTCTGTGTGAGTCTCTGTTTGTCTATGTTGTGTGTCTCTCTCTGTGTGTCTCTCTGTGTGAGTCTCTGTGTGTTTATGTTATGTGTCTTTCTGTGTGTCTATTTCTGTGAGTCTCTGTGTGTGTGTCTCTGTGTCTGTGTTTTGTCTCTCTCTCTCAAATTTAGTTCTACCTGACTGTGGTGTTGGCCGACTCTCTGTGTTGTATTGCATTATATTCCCAAGTTCACTATGTTTGTTTATTCATTAATTTGTACATGATAATGGTTGCTTGTGTTGCAATCGAAACGTCGTATTTTATTATTTAATATTTTTTTCTTTCTACGTGACTTTGCCGAAAGAGCCAAAGAGTAGGGACCGCCATGATCCCACCGAGCATTCCCCCGTCCCCTCCATCCCTCTACGTTGTTGCTTCCTCTCCCGTGGTCTTCCCCTCCCCGTTTAAAACAAAACAAAAGTCCACGTTCTCGCTTGCGGTCATCACATCACGGTGGGGCAATGAGCCCAACGTCTTTTGTCCCCCCCTCCTCCTCCTCTAAACACAGGAGCGCTACGTTGCAGGACAGGAGATCGGCAGCTTGCAGCTCCCTATATCCGCACGCGGCGCCCTGAAGAAAGCTTGCTTCTTGATATATTGACGTTTAATACCGAATTCGCAAAAAAATGCACTCTCGTTATTTTGGTTGCCGGAGACCCCCTCTATGAATGTACGTTGAACTTCTTTCGCACCGTACGTAGCCACCCATGCTCATCGGGAGATGCGGACCACTGCACCTATGACGTGGTTTTTGCGGAGTCTCTGCGTGGTCCCGCTAATTTGTGCTCTGTGCTGGGCTCATGTTGAGCTAAAAACAAACAACAAAAACAACAACAACAACAACCAGAGACCGCTTGCGGTGTGAGTGCTGATGATGATGATGTTGCTGATGCTGCTGCGGCTGATGTCACCGATAGGTCTTCGTGGAGCCCGGCTCTGAAGACTTTCAAGATCTCTCCGAGAGAGCCATCATCTCAAACAGTGACCTACAGCCACATCAACACGAACAACAACAACAACATCATCATCATCAACAGCAGCAGCAGCAGCAACATCGCCACCACCAAGTCGAGCAGAACGCTATCACTGCGGCCGAAGCGTCCCGTGCAATCGCCTCCTCCTGGCCCTGGATCCTTTCGCCCGGGGCCGTTCCTATGGCCGGTGCCGCAGAGATCGGCGGACCTCTGTGGTCCCAAGACGAAATGGGGCTTGGTCCGAGGCGACAGAGTAAGCGCTACGGAGGGTTCCAGGTCCACAGCGAACCTCCGGTTGCTAAGACACCCCTCATGGTCCTGTTTAAGATGTTCAAAGGCAGGGATGGGAAGTCTCAATAAACCGGGTGGGCGCTGGAGGGATATTCACGATGGATGAATAAATAAATAAGGAACTGGAAACCCATGCGTGTTGATTCCTGATGTGTTGTGTCGTTGCTGCTGTTGTTCTTCTTCTTGGTTCTTTCGGTAAAGTCACGTAGAAGGGAAGTAATAAAATAAAAAACATAATAAAATAATTCTCACGACGTTTCGGCCACAACGCAAGCAGCCGTCCTCAGGTGAAGACCAGGTCTGTCGGGGAGACAGCGTCTGACAGACCTGGTCTTCACCTGAGGACGGCTGCTTGCGTTGTGGCCGAAACGTCGTGAGAATTATTTTATTATGTTTTATTTTTATTATTTTATTACTTCCCTTCTACGTGACTTTACCGAAAGAACCAAGAAGACACTGTGTGCATGTTCAATCCCCTGCTGGATGCAGCCCCCCCACCGCTCTCAAGCCGTATGCGTGGAGGCGGGAGCGTGCGGTGAGTGGGGGGGGGAGGTTATTTGACCAAGCTGCTCGGTCCAAGTCGGGTGGGTGAAGTGGTTATAGACACGGGAGCATAGAAGGACAGTACAACGTTAGACTCGAGCACAGACGACTCGTCGGATCTCGGAATGCAAAGCCGAATGTGTACAATGAACACGCAGCAAGATGCGAGTCTCCGAAACAAAACAATGATCTGCTTCAATTTCGATTTCAAGCTTTCGTGACTGCAGGGATTCATATTCTTGGTTCTTTCGGTAAAGTCACGTAGAAGGGAAATAATAAAATGGTAAAAAAAATGAAACGTAATAAAAAAATTCTCACGACGTTTCGATTACAACACAAGCAATCATCATCAGGTGTGAAAACTACGACAAGAAAATTTTAGCTGAAGTGACCTCAGCGACTTTACCGAAAGAACCAAGGCACTGATCTGCTTGCAAAGCACGGTGGCTCCTTTGCAAGCCCACTGGCTTCTATCAACACAGACACAATTTCAACCGAGAGAAATGGGTGCAAAACTCAGCAAATCATTGGAAGGGACGTCATCAACCACTTTAAGTCATAACTGGTTGGGGGCCGTCCATAAATGACGTCACGCACCTAGAGGGGGGGGGGGGGGCAAAAATCTTCCAAAATCGCGTGACGTCATTTATGGACGGCCCCTTATGATGTTTATTTCTTGTCACCTTCCGTGTCTTTCTTGTACCGCCCCATGGTTCTGTCTGACCACAGGGCACTGATGCTAGGACGCTTGTGCCGCGCTCATTTTTAAATCCTTTATATTAAGTTCACTTGCTTGCGTGCTTGCTTGCTTACGACCGTGCAAATCTTTCGGTCGTTTTTTAACCCACTTCCCGTGATCCAATCGAGCTGACATTTTCCACACAGACTCGTTGTGCCAGACAATTAATGTTCGTGAAAAAAAATTCCCAAAATGTTACACTTTTTAGGCAAAAAAAAATATTTTACATATATTCAAATAGAACTCATTCTTGGCTTTGGTTGAACGTCACAGTATAAGAGCCCAGAGCGTAACCCCTCCACAGGCCGTGGCGGAGTAGCGCAGTTGGTAGCGCCCTCGCTTCCCATGCCAAAGGTCGCGGGATCGATCCCCGCGTCGTCCACAGGCGAATATATTTTTAAATCCTTTATATTAAGTTCGCTGCCACGCATATAAAGGATTTAGAGTGAAAAACTTTGTTTTTACGGGTTATACTTATTAAATCTTTAAAGATAATTCGCCTTCAGTGCGCCGTACCCCCCCCCCCCTTTTTTTGCTCCTGATGACGATCGCTTGTGTTGTGATCGAAAGGTCGGAGTTAAAAAAAAATTACTTTCATTTTTTTATCGACGTGACTTCACCGAAATTTACAAAGAAAATCATCTGTCGTAGATCCTAAAGGTTGAATCATTTACTCCAAGGGGCAAGATAACGCCCATCATTTCCCTGGGGTCGATAAAATTTGTACTATTTTAAGAGGGGTGTGTGGGGGGGTTTACAGCGGTTGTCGTATGAAGAAGACTCTCCCCCTCCTACATACGAACGTGGAATTTCCACCACTGGCTCAGCGGTGAGCGATGCTTCAGTTGATGCTCAATTGGAGATGCCGACACTTGTTCCACTGGGAAAGGGGAGAACAAATGTAGACGACCAGCAGGTGAAAAGATAATTCTCCCATTGTAAAGGCTGGCCCCCGCTTTTGTGGTGTATTGTTCGAATGAAGGGTGCACGGTGATTAGGACGAGTGAGTGAGTGAGCGAGCGCGCCTTTTCAGATCGAGAGGCGATGGTTGCTTTGTGCGTGGGGATGGCGCTAAGTGTTGGCTCCTGTGAGCAACGACTTTTCCAATTCAGTGACAAAGGAACCCTGATCAGCACGACACGAATCAAGGCCAACCCGCCTCCGTCTGTACGCAGTCAGCCGATCATCTTCAGTTTCAGTTTCATTTATTCGGTACTAGCTGTAACTACCCGCCTTCGCCCCGGGACTTGGGTCCACCACGCCCGGCCGCCTTTGCCTCCCCAGTGGCGATGTTCACACACCACACCTGGTTTGAGGCTGAGTCGACCTAGGGGAGGCCCAGGACCGGTTCAAATTATCGTCACCGGTGGTGTGGCCGTGAGCGGGAATCGAACTCGGGTCGCCGGGTTCGTAGCGCAGCGTAGCGCTAACCACGACACTACAATGCGTGATGCTTCCACGTGCTCGGGTCACGTGACAGATTTGACGTCACAGCTCACTTGCCGTGCAAAAAAAATATGCATTATTGAGCTGCCCCCCCCCCCCCAAGGTGTATTTTTTATAATGTTTGCATGGTGTACAGTCTGGAAAGTACCCGCATGGAAAATGTCAAGTTTGTTGCATGTCGGGAAGTACGCTAAACATTTTGAACTAGAAAGTGACTATGTGACTATGTGTAAACAGAAAATCCAGGAAAAGACAGCAAAATATTCCACAAAAAGCACCGTACACCAACGCTGTGTGCAAAAATCCCAGTGGGATGCAAGTCAAACAACAACAACAACCACCACAGTCATTGCTGCATCAACATCGATTTAAAGCTTTCGTGACTACAGGGATTCATCTTCTTGGTTCTTTCGGTAAAGTCACGTAGAAGGGAAATAATAAAATAATAAAAATAAAACATAATAAAATAATAATTCCCATAAATGAAGAAACGCTGTCTTTCCGACAACTCTGTTTCTTCGCCTGAGGACGGCTGCTTGCGTTGTGGCCGAAACGTCGTGAGCATTATTTTATTATGTTTGATTTTTATTATTTTATTATTTCTCTTCTACGTGATGACTTTACCGAAAGAACCAAGAAGATGAATGAACATCGTCACGCGTCTCGAGCGGCGCCTCTTCTTCATCTGCGGGTGCTCCACTGCCACCACCTGGCGGTGCGAGATTCAAGATTCAAGATTCAAGTTTCATGTATTAGGTATAGCCCTGTGAGCCAAGTGCAAACAGAAAATCCAAGAAAAGACAGCTAAATATTGCAGAAAAAGCACCGTACACCAACGCTGTGTGCAAAAATCCCAGTGGGATGCAAGTCAAACAACAACAACAACCATAAGACAACTTAGATTAAGGCCATCAGTCTAACTCTGTACTACAACAAACAAACATGGCCAAACGAAAACACTTTTCGAAAATCACCAAAATAAAGCCATAAAAGCAATGAAACAGTGATCATGGGAACTGTGACCGAATTTTCACAATAAACGACTTAAACAACATGTATTACCAAACTCTGCAGCCGTAGCTGGCTGCATGAGTCACTCCACAACAGCAGGAGCATCAGTCGGAGTGAAAAACATCGAGACGTGGCCAGATGTCTTGAGAAGGTGCATCATCGAAAACAAAAATCAAACACGGGCACGTAAGCACAACTTACTTTGTTTCATGAAACCCCCATGCGTTTCTTAACATTGTACATGGTTTAAAGCTTTAGTGACTGCAGGTATTCATTTTCTTGGTTCTTTCGGTAAAGTTACGTAGAAGGGAAATAATAAAAAAAATATATAAAACAATACAATTCTCACGACGTTTCGACTGCAACACAATCAATCATAATCAGGTGTGAAATCCACGGCAATAAAATTTTAAAAAAGTGGCGGTGGTGCTGACGTTAAGAAAAAACCGCCACTTGTTTCTAAAAAAATCTTGCTGTGGATTTCACACCTGATGATGATTGCTTGTGTTGCAGTCGAAACGTCGTGATAATTTCATTGTTTTATATTTTAATTATTTCCCTTCTACGTGACTTTACCGAAAGAAGCAAGAACATTGTACATGGTGTTTTTTTACGATTGAGAAACAACGGGGTACAGGCTGCAGTGAAGGTGACGAACCACTGCTTTAGAGTATTTGGCTGCTATGAAATGTCAACTTGACAAGCCACTATCGGTGAGCAATCATTCGTGGCTTGAAAAAAAAACAAAAAGCGAGTTACGTAGCTCAGTGCGCCTTTAGCTGCTAACACATCAACGGGGCTCTCACCCGCACTTATTGCACTTCATGGACTCTGAAAACCTCCTCCTGGTAAATGTCCATCGGTCAGGCATTTGACATCTCGCCCGACGGTTCGTAAGAGTGGAGTGGGGGGGTCGATAGGCGGCGCTCGCCTCTCGCTCCGTGTCCCAGTAGCACAAGTAGCTGCACGTGTAGCACAAGTAGCTGCATGTGTAGCACAAGTAGCTGCATGTGTAGCACAAGTAGCTGCATGTGTAGCACAAGTAGCTAGCACAAGTAGCTGCATGTGTAGCACAAGTAGCTGCATGTGTAGCGCAAGTAGCTGCATGTGTAGCGCAAGTAGCTGCATGTGTAGCACAAGTAGCTGCATGTGTAGCACAAGTAGCTGCATATGTAGCACAAGTAGCTGCATGTGTAGCACAAGTACCTGCATGTGTAGCACAAGTAGCTGCATGTGTAGCACAAGTAGCTGCACGTGTAGCACAAGTAGCTGCATGTGTAGCACAAGTAGCTGCATGTGTAGCACAAGTAGCTGCATGTGTAGCACAAGT